ACCTGGGGCTGAAGTTGAAATTTACTTTGTTTTTTTTCTCTAGGTTGCCTTTCTGACCCTCCATGGTATTTAGGGTTCCCACTGTTTCTTGTGAATTTCCAGAGTTCAGTCGCTGTCCTAAAAATAGTTTGAGTGAGCAGTTTAGAACAGTTAAATGCTATTGATGGGTCAGTTAGGGTTGTGAAGCATGTTGCAAGTCATTTGCCCTCTGATGTTTACAGTGACAGAACCATCAAAGTTAACCACAGTGAGTGTTCCCGCTTGTATTCTAGAATGTGGGAACAGAGGCAGTGCAGCAGGCATAATTTACCTGAAGCTGATGTATCAACTACTCAGGCATGGAAGTGGGGTGGAAGTTCTGACGTTTGCTTTAATAGTGCTGGAGGCCTCCTGAGTGATGTGAGAGAGATGGGCTTTGTCACGTGACAGGTTGCCAGGAGCTAGGCCCTGAGCTCATATCATAAAGCAGATTCTCTTGCATTTTCCTTTGCCATCCTCAGACTTTAGTGAAGTTTGCCCAACCATTCTTTTGTCCCAACTGTGCAAAGGGGAATTAGAAACAAGGTCTAGACTTTGGCTGTAACATTAGAAGGGAGACTGCAGTGGTATCTTCAGAGATATCCCTAAGAAAGAAGTGAGTCATGGAGAAACAAAAGTGGGGTTATGAGGCTTGGGAGTCCTGATACATTGAGAACATCCTCTCCTGAAAATCTTAAAGAGGGGGCCTGGTTGTGTTTAGAAAAAACCGATTGCTCCCTCTATGAATGTTGGTTAGCTTTGTGCCTTGGTGGGGCTTTTCAGTTCTTCCATGGGATATCTGGTCACACAAAAACTACATAGATCAGTGATAATCTTTTAAAGCTTTCAATGATAACGAACGACTAAGGCACACATGCCATAGGTTCTCCATCAGTGCTATAGCTCATAGCTGTATTCTTTTAGGTTCAGAGGTGTGTGGTTGTTTGTAGCTTTTGGAACAGCTATTTAAAAATAGTTACACAGAAATGAAATAGGGCACAGGGAAAAGTCAAAAGCTCTTCTCGTCTTTTAATTCCTCTGAATAAACACACCCATTATTGAAGCAAATGTGGCTTTTGTGTGGCACTACTGTTACATTAAACCAGGTGAAAATGTGTAAATGTTAAATCGTATAATTGTTGACATTTTCAGCCTGCATTGGTCTTCCAGCCTTGGTCAATGTCTTAAACTGAGGGTCTTGGTTCACTGCCAAAAACAAGGGACAGCCTCAGCCATCACTCCCATTGACTCACAGTGGCTGGGATGGTATGACCAGCTAGTCCAGCTTCCCAACTGCTGATCCAGTTGTATCATTGGTTATAATGAAGCACATTTCAAAGCGATTGCTGTGATGACAACTTCTCGGTCCTTCCTTGGGAGGATTTTGTTTTGGTCCTCCAGCTTTTCCACATGTGCTAAGTATATGAGAGAGCAGACATTTATGTTGAGGAATTTAGGGATGACAGATCCAAATTCCCAAACTTGACATTTCTTATGTGTTCAGATCTTTGGAGCTGGTATATGTTGTGGTCCCAATATAGATAATGGGAACAAAGACATATAATGACACTGCCTCCTCCAACTGTGCCTTTTTTTTTGGTATCAGATAAGAAAAAACATTATTTGTGGGATTTTTTGTAATCTCACATTTTTTAACACTGGGCAATTTCTTTTCTCTGCATACATATGTCTTTAAAAGTCTATCTTTTATTACATTGTTAACTTTTGGTAAAAATTGTGATTAAAAGTAGATGAGATGGTAACCAAATATTTAAAAATATGCAAAAGTACCACTTTCAGTTCCTCTCAACAATGCTAGTATTTCTCAGAGCAAACCTAACTTAACTGCACTTAAGCTCTGAAGTCAGACAAATTTGATAAAAGTGGAAGTGGTCCTACTCTTTATGAAATAAGACAGATTATACTTTGGGAGAATATAATTTGCTATAAAGTATAAAATGTTTTAATATTTATATCTTATAAACCATGACATGTTTATAAACACTCTATCAAGCATTTTTACAATGGGGGCCACTGCTGACATTTGGAAACGCAATAAATATTCACAGACACACTGAGTATGAAATATACATCTTGATTTTATAATCGTGTGTGCTTTATTTTTTACACAAATGGAATGGAAGTGTTGAATATTTACACTTAACAGGAGTGTAAGCTGTGCAGTGTCTCTGTAAACTCTAGCCCAGGCAAGGAGCGATTGCCTCTCCTACCTCCTGCACTGCAGCTCGATGAAGAAACATCCTGTCAGAAGCACAAAATTGTCATATTAAAAGGATCTAACAGGTACAATCGGGTGCACTCAGAATTTAAGACACACTTAGGAAACACAAATTCAAAAAAGAGAGAAGAAAAGTTTGCCATCCCATTGGGAGTTGACCTTCCCACTTGGCTGTCTGTCTTCTTCAGTTGATAGGGAGATACAGTACTGTACTTTATTTTTAGCCAATCTTTGAATTATCTGTCTGTCTTAGCTTGTCTTTAGCTGCTACAAGAAACTGCACAGCTGTACAGGAAATGATTTCTGAAGCACAGATTTCAGTGAGGAAGGATATTTACAAACGAGGGTGTGTGTTTCCAACCACATTCATTCACACCTAATGAAATATGTGTATACATGATATGCATACCATATATACCACCCATACACATAAGTAAAATGTATATCCAGACTTCTGGAGGGAGTCTCCTGGCAAATCAGTTGTCACAGGAGGTACTCCACATGCTTTAGGGAACTGTTCCTTTTTCCCCCCTAAGAGTGTCAAATTAGTACAATAAATTTAGGAACACTGGTCTGAGTCCTTGACTTAAATAATTTTGTAGGAATTTTAGGCAGGACCAAGACAGGAAGAGATGTCATTTCACCAACAAGTCCATTCGATCTCACCAGAGCAGTCACCAGCCAAAAAGCAGAGGGGCTTCACATGAAAATGGAAAAAAGTAAGTAGGAAAAAAAAAAAATCTCTCTCTCCAAACCAAGGTGATGGCATGGCTTTAATGAGAAGAGGTTTGACGTCAGAATCATTATTGGGGCCAGAGTCTGCCTGTGTTGAAAGGAAGTGTCCTCAGAGCCTTGGGTGACAGTGGGAGCGAGCTCCTGGAGGACCAGAGTTGAGGCAGAGGAGCCCAGGTGCCAACAGAGCCACAGCACATGCATCCTCGCTGCCAGGCAGCGGTGCAGGCTGGCTCCGGGAGCTGCTGGAATTGGTCCGGGTCAGGGCCTTGTGCTCAGCTTTGCTTTCTGGGCTGAGTAGGTAAAGTGGTGACCCCAAATCTTTGAGTCATTAGTCCAGAGTATGGACATGCTGTCTGAATTAGCCATGAGCCCTTTATAGGACACACACACACACACACACACACACACACACACACAGAGAAAAAGAAATTAAGGAGTTGGATATGTAGGAGATAGTCAGATATGGGGGAAGAGAGGATAGGATAGGACAGGAAAGGAGAAGAAAACAGCAACAAGAGACTGACACTAAAGGAAAGACAGACAAAGAGCGAAAGGGGAGGGTGTAAAGAAGGATTATGGGGCAAGATCAACTCAGATAAGATAAAAAGAGAGGGGGACAAAAAAGACAGATGGAATGAGACACAAGTGAAAGGAAAGCAATGGAAAAGAACAAGGAAAAATAAAAGGTGAAATCCCAGAGGTGTGGAGAGATATTTTTCCTCTGGCCCAGGGTCCTAAAGGGCTGGCCGTAGGATGTCAGACAACTCACAGAGGCACCTGAGAGCAGCTTTGTAAAGATGGACTTGCCAAGCGTAATAGCCAACCCAAGAATTTGGGGCTGGAAGAAAAGGCCTGCAAAGAAATGGCTGACAAATCCTGTGGGAGGAGAGCAAGAAGAAAACAAAAACAAAAACAAAAACAAAAAACAAACCCCAGCAATTGGCTGGCAAGTTGGATTTTGATTTTGGTAAAGCTGTGACCCCCATGGTGCTACACATTGTACCAGAGCATGAAAAATAGCACCAGTGACACGATCTGGCACTTTTCTGAAAGGGCCCAGCATGTGAAGGTGACATTGCGCCCCCAGCAAGTCTTCAGATTGGAGAGAGCTCCGGACAAAGTTTGCAGTGTTAGCACCAGTCTGGCCCCAGGCTCCAAGTACATTGGCACCAGATATAATCTGGGTAACTTTCATGCCTTTTCCGTACAGGTCATCATATTTACTGTAAAATACACCAGCTCACTGGAGCCACGGAGACCTCAACATTGGGAAGCGCAAGACAACACAACAAATGGAGGTGTATATTCTATAGGAAAAGACCCTCTCACCAATTTGCTTGGTGATTCTTCAAGCAAATATATATGTATATATATTTATATAAATCTACATAAAAAATTAGTGCAAATGCCAATTCTAATCTGAAAGCATCTACACTAGGAAAATAAATAAGTATATTACTACAAAACCAAGGGTTGGTAGTTCAATTTGATTGTACTTAGCCACGGCAATACTATTAAATGGAAAGCACATCACACGACCCGAGAAAATGTCTACTCATTAATGACAGTCCTCTAAATAAACGGTTGCATGCTCTGTTGAGAAACCAAAGAAGTTATCATGGTGGCCTAAAAATAGAGCTGGGATCAGGAATGGCATTCTGGTGGCAGAAAACTTCTGGGAGCAATACTGACGAAAGTTGGCCTTGACCTGAAACTGGCGAGCTGCAGATATGGACACATCTTTAACATTTTGAGCATTCTACGGACTCTGGAAATTTAGCTTTCATCAGAGGGAAAATGCACTGCTAGCCCTTCCATTGGCATGGTAAAGGCAGCCTCAAGACTATAGGTAGATACATAATTTTGCATTTCTGTGTTTGTTTTGGTGACTGCAGACAATGGTAGTGTAAGATGAACAACCCTTGTTTTTGGAAAGAGACTGATTTTTGAGCTCCAGTGTTCTCACTGTGAAGTAGCCCCATCACTCTGATGGCTGTGTCTTTTGTTCTCTTACTCCAGCCTACATGCTGGTTTGCTGCACAGTGTGGCAGAATCCCTGCCAGGTCTTGGTGTACCCCAGAAATAAGGCGATGGGGCTTAATCTGGGCATCATAAAACCCAGAATTGAGTGGTTATTAATATCACTGAAAAGTCTCTCTTTAACATCATGGGCAAAACCAATGCTGATGTCACTATCAGCTCTAAAGTGGGAAACTAACTCTTCTATTTCAGTTTATAGGCGTTGGGAGGTTTCTTTTTTGAATCACCTTTATAATTGTTAAAAAATAAACTTGGTCCAGGTGCAGCCTTGAGGAAGGCAATTCCATTGGTCAAGCTCAAAGTCCTAAATTGTCTTTCTTTATGGTTTTTGCTCTATAGACTGAAACAAGAAGTCTGCACCCCTCACCCCCAACTAGATACTTTTCTCTCTCTCTTCCTCAAAGATATAGTACATCTTGGGACAGATCTCCCATGACTCTAGTACCAACTCTGGCTATTACAAAATTCTCTACTCTGTGGAACAAAAACAGAATGATTCTACTTACTCATAGCTGGCCAGAATACTAAATGATCCTTTAAGAATTGTATGCAAATTACTAGGAACAAAGGTATCAAACTGTTTGCACGGTAGGGCAAGGTTAATTAGAGAAAAAAACAAAATTTCCTTTAGGTCATTTGCAAGAATTTGTGTCTAAAGAGCCATCAGTTTAAAACTGCATTAACCAAATGTCTTCCAAAAATATCCATGAGGGCAACTCATTAAGGGACGTGCTCTCTAAGAGTGTGTTGCTAGTACGCAAGGGAGATCATGGGAGGTAAGTGAGGGAGAAGCCTTTGTCAGACTTGGAAGGAACTTAGATGCTGCTAATGGATCATTGGCAACAAAAGGAGAGTGCAACTTTTTCAGTTCTTGAATTTGATCCTCTGCTGATAGTGCACACATTGTCTTTCAATTAATTATTCTTTACAAAATATTTCACAAAACTTTTTTAACCTATAGAAATTCATTTCTATACATTTAATATATTTTTATTGTATAAATTATTCTCATCTTTAGTGCCTTCATTCAGTTTATAAATGGCAAAATAGACAATCAACAATCATAAAGCTAACCCCAGGCAGAATTCCCTCCTCTCAGTAAGGTTAACCTCCATACACTTGAGAATTTTATGAAATGCTTGTTTTGCAGATGCCAGTCAATGCAACTACACAAATATCCTTCCTGACAGTATGTCGTCTCCAAAAGGACTCCTTTTTTTTCCTTCTTTGTTTGCTTTGCTTGTTAAGAAATCAAAGGATGTGCATAGTTATAAAATTCAAAGTGTACCAATTATAGATGTGGGTAATGGGAAGGTTGGTGAGGTTCGAGTGCTGGCAACTTTTCTTTAAAGCAAAAAACACAGAGAGCTCAGCAGCTAAATCAGCTCTGGACATCTGCTGGGGTGAGGAGGTTGCCCATGTCTTAGGCAGAAAGCCCATCTGAGGTTCATCCCTACACCTGGAACTTTCAGCAAATCGTAGCCTTCCTGCATACTGCAATGTCTTTTCTGTCCCACCCTGTGGCCCCTCCGTTTCCTTCATGGCTTCACACAGTTTGTGTTGTACATTCATAGGAATTCACATTGACTGCAAAAACATAAATGCAACAAAAACATAAAAGCCTCCAAGTAGTATATTATATATATTTTGTTCTTCTAAACGCTCGTCTGTCGTTGTCAGAGGTGCGGTAGCTAAATTATAACTTTTCCTTTGAGGGAATCCAGATGAAAGGCCCAGATTGCTCTTCAATAACAAGCTTGCATTGGTTATATATATCTTCTAAGGTGTCTCCTTGGACAATAGCTGTAACAAAAGCAAACAAACCCAGAGACAGGACTCGTTACCTGGCTGGTGAAGAACAGTCAGTACTCATATCAGCAACAGACAACTCATTTGGAAGCTTAATGTCATTTTTCATTAGTAAGAAAAGGCAAAAAAGTCACATAAGCAAGGTCGCATCAACGATTAAAACAAAACAAGCAAAAAAATGCTTCCAGTGCATGTCCTAGATCAGTAATAAATGTATCACAGTCTTTGTACTTTGTACATATGTTTGCAGTTGTAGATATTGCATAATTCATTTATTTCACAACTATTTTGAGCCAGGCACAAAGCACTGATTAATTTTCAGGTTGTGAGCTCCCTGTTTCATAGAGAGCTGTCCTTAGAGTCTCTATGCTTTCCTTATTCTTTGGCAGACACAGAAGTTTAGATAATTTTAACGGAGGAAATAAGGGTTTTGGAGGAAACTTTAATACCTCCAACCCTCATGACTGTTAAGAGGAAATCATCCCATTTATACTCTAACTAATCTGGTAAATTGAGATTTTATCACATAGAGCTATTTATACTGAGAATACCTGATGGCTACTACTTGTAAGGAACATATAAGTGGAAACATAAACTGCTAAATTGTGACTTACCTAATACACCACGGCACTTGGAGTACATTTAAGTACATTATCTCTATTGTATAAAAGCTATGTTGTAGGTAGAGCTCCAGATTATATCAGTACCATTCATAACTCTAAACCTTAGAAATAAATTGCTATTGAAACATTGTTTAGGTCTTCAGAAACTGTCCTCAGACTATACCAATTATAATATTTTACTCCTGAATATAAATCACTGGTCAGGATGTACATTGTTTTGATTTTCCTACCTGGATCTTCTTTTAAGATGAACCATGACTTATGGTTTAGTTATTATTAGAATTTCTATTATTAGCCATTTAAAAATGTTTACAAAGTGCCATGCCATTGACATTTTCCATATTTTGAGTAAGATAAAAAATAAAATATTTAATTTGATTCCAGGTAATTAGGAAAAGTTCTCATTTTTAAAGCAGTAAAAATCAGTTTTAAGGCAAATACCACAAAGTTTGGTTAATGTCTGGGTTTAATCAGTGTTCCACGAAAGCATATAGGAATAGAGAGATCAGGATATCCAAAAAAGAGAAATTATTGTTTCATTCCCAATCTTCATGTTTCCCAAGAAACATTTAAAAAAGAAAATAAAAGGTTTTGCATTGAGACTTCTCACAGGATTAATTAAAACAGAGGGAGAGTGTGTGTGGTGCAAGCACTACTGAGCGGAAGACAGAGTCAAGTTTGTCTAGGCCTTGAGACTGCTGCTTGAGACCACCTGCTCTGGAACTGCCATTTTGAGCCCTAACAGTTGCTTTTCAAGGTTTCTGTTGCTATTAGGGAGGTACTTTAATGAGAGCAATGCCTAAAATCTCTTTAATAGCAGGAGATAATTCAGGGCATCTGCCACTCATGGTTTTTGGTAGGGTCAAAGGGAACCTGGGATCTGTCTGTATCTCAACGCAGAGGAGAAAGAGAACCCAGAGCTCTGAATCAAATAGGTGAGGCAGAGAGCAGATGCATAAGACAAATGTTAGAGGTTCTCAACAGTGAGATTTTACCAGGCCGGGAGCCCTCTCTATGCCAAATATCAGACAGTCTATCACCTTCATCATTATACCAGGGTCAGGGGAACTTACCTGTAAAATATTCTCCAAATTCTTGCTCTAGCTTAATTGCTCTATCATAAGTTTTCTTGGCTTGTTCCTCTGTTAGACGCTTATTCATCTCCCTGGGAAAATGAGGGTTTTGGTTTTAGAACACAAGGGAGCATACCAAATCTTTAAAAATGAAAATGCATGCCAAAACAGAATCCAAAGGAAGATGCAACAATGCATAAGATTCTGATAAGATTACTGACATTTAGAAATGGGAAGAAAGGAGCTAAAGGTGTAGGGAAGGTGGGATGGGTAGGGGAAGAGTAAAAAGGGAAAAGAAAAAAATGTGAGAGAATGAAAAGATGAAAATAAAGTGTTTGTAGATGGGGAGGGGAGGAAGGGGTGAAGGGAGGGCAGAGGTAAGGGGAAAAAATGAGAATCAAGATTTGTCATGTAGAGGTACATGATCCCAACAATGAATGTAACTGTACTGTATCCCTAAAATGTACCAATAAACTCAATTAAAGCTGAAAAAAAAAAAGAATCCAAAGGAAGAATAGTTTAATCTTATCTATAGCTTCCTAGTCTTTATCGGACCAGTTACGGTTAGCAGGGCTCCCTGCCAAGGAGCTCACTTTCTCAAGGGCCCCATTGGACCGAAGCAGAATCTATCTCCTTAGGATTCACTGTTCTGGTGTGGTTCCTCTTCTATCCCCTGCAGTGCCCTGGAGTAGGGCTACGCTTCCTCCAGCGCAGGCTGGAGGGCGTTTGCTCACCTGTCCCTGGAGGGACATAAAGGGCTCATTGGTCCCTTGGGGCTTCCACTCTTTCACCATAAATGGTCCTACTTCTTTTATTCTCTCACAGGACATGCTTTCTAAATTCAAACTCTCCTGCATACCCTTCATGGGATTTTATTCTAGCATACTTTATATCCTGTCTTAAGTGTGGGACTTAGAATTGAAGGAAATATTCCAGAGATGGTCAGAGGCAGGAAGAAGGACAGAACTAAGTATATCTTAGTGCACTGGGCCTCATCACATCCGAGAGACAAGACTTGGCTGTTCTCAAGTGCTGACCTTGTAGAAAGCCCTGATTTCTTGCCACCTTCATCTTCCTCAAGGGATACAGTTTATCCTCTATGTACATTTTCCAGAAAATGTTTTACCGAAATTAGTGAAGGTGTGTTAGTATCTCTCAGGCCACGGAGGCATTCTGCAGCTCTTGCTATTTAACTTTTGCAAGTGTGGAGGCATGCCTCCTGCAACAAGCGCCCTGAACTGCTTCTGTCTGTAACCAAATGAGAAGTGAAAGATCTGCTGATGGAAAACTGAGTTAAAATGGACATAGAATGGAACGAATGTGCCAGTACCAAAATATTTTCAAGTAGACGATAATGAAGTAACTTAGTCTAATAGTGAGCCAGGATAAAGGAGCTTGACATAAAATATTTTCTAGTATGGATAGGCACAAGGGTGCAGTTGGACAGAAAGAATTACTTCTAATGTTTTAAAGCACAGTGGAAGGATTATGGATGGCATGGCAACAATTAATTGAATATTATAAAATAGTGTATACAGTGAAGTTTGACTGTTTCTAACAGAGAGAAATGATATATGCAGAAAGTGATAGGTGTACCAGTTACTCCGATCCGATCATTACATACTCTTAGTGTGACAAGATTCCATTTGATACCCCATGCTAGGTATAATCACTATGTGTCAATTAAAAACAGAACAAAATAAACTCTAATGCCTGCTTTGTTTATTACGATAGAATGAGCTATAAAGGAATTATGCCTAGGAGTATCTGTCATTTTCTATTTGTCAACAATTGTTTTACCAACTGTGTATAAATGTTTAATCACTGTAAGATTACTTAAACTTAACCTAGTCTCAAGGGCATAGCAAGGTCAGAGAGAAATGGACAATTCTCTAATTCTTTTTTGGGCATCTGGGATCAAACTCAGGACCTTGTGCTTGTGAGGCAGGCACAGTGCCATTGAGCTAAATCCCTGGCCTGACAATTGTCTAATTCTAAGACCCAGTTTACTGATTATCAACCAATGGTAGCTTTATTCTCCCATTACCTCTAGGTGTTGACGTCCAGCCAAATGCAGATATTTTTGGTTGGCCCATCACAATGCCTCATAGGTACATGCAGAATTTCTGAAAGCATCACTGCCTTGTAGGCCACACAGCCAAAGATTGAAGTTTAGAATTCCTGGTATTAGTCAACCCATTTTCTAGTGCAAGTTAGTGATATGTACTCATAATCCCAGTTCATCAGGAGGCTGAGGCAGGAAGATGGCAAGTTGGAGGCCGGTATGGCAACTTGGCAAGACCTTGTCTCCAAATAAAATTTAAAAAAGGGGGTGGGTTTTGGGTTTGTAGCTCAGTGGTAAAGCATGTGCCTAGCTATCATGTATGAGTTCCCGGGTTCAATGTCTAGTACCAATAAAAACAAAAGCAAAACCTCAAAAACAACCTCCCCTACATCTCTGTCATGCATGCCCTTGACTTTATGCTTCTCTGAAGAATCAGCTATGTATGTGCTAATATGCTCGGGGCTTTGATGTGGACACTGCACTTGAGAAATAATGTGTGTGATGATATATCAGTGTGTAAATGTGACAGCTGCCGTGCTTTTGTTCCAGCTCACATTCACTTCTTCCTGGGGGATGGGCAGTTCGTGCCAACTCTGGTCCTGAAGAAAAAGCCTCAGAAAAGAGTGAACCGTAAACATGCAGCATTAGTAATGAGATCACACTGGTCTGACCGCAGTCATTGCTGCCCTTGAGACCTGTGGATATAGCTGTAGAACATTACATCAGATTCACTGTCCTCTGTGTGCAGTTCAGCCTTCAGAATGTTTAATTTTTCCTTGGTGGTAAGTAGCTGTGTCAGTGTCTGAAAGTAAAACTATTAAGTCATCCGAGAGTTGTGTTAGAAGTAGGCCCTCCTCTACTGAGCAATCAGTTGGGACTGACTCCCAACATCCTACTGGACCCAATGTGCCAGTGCTGTTGCTCTCTGGGTACTCCTTCCTTAGGAAGCCATTTATCCCATTATGTGTTTATAATGTGAAGACTCATTGTTCTGAAACAGGACTTTCAGACGCTGTTCCCAAGAGGCCATTTTTCTACTCTTCTTAATAATGTTAGCGTTATATCTAATACTTGTATCATGTGGCTCATTTGTGCTACGCAGGTGACTCCTCAGACAAGCATAAAATCAAGGGCAAATATAAAATAGGTGCTCTTTTTTAGGACTATTACTGTGGATTGAATCTAACACCTCACACAAGCGAAGCAAGTGCTCTGCCACTGGACCCTTTTAAATTTTATTTTGAAACAATGTCTTGCTAAGCCTTTACAGATTATAAATCCTTGACAAAATGAAATGTGTGGTTGCTTAACTCACTTTGTGCAATGCCCATTTCCTTTATTGGAGAAATTTAATATATTTTGTTGGAGGCAATAATACTTAAAGTATTACTTTATCATCAATACATATTTTCACATGCTAATCATGGGAAAAGTTCTACAGTACAGTTTAATGCCTAACTTCAGCATAATTTAATGCCTAAATTTAAAGGTAACAACAGTGACCTCCCAATTTTATCTTCTCATCCTGGTAAAAGGGACGAAGAAACAAACTTATTTATGGGAATATATTCTGCTTTTATATCTTTGGCAATTTCCCCAGAGAACAAATAAGTGTTTAACTTAATTCTCTCAATCTGCCCTTCCAGCTACTGCAGTTGGCTGTGCTTTTTCATTATCAGAAGATACTAGAACAGAAGAGAACAGGTAGCTGATATCTCCATTTTACCTTTGAGATGAAATAATTTCCCCCTGCTTTGGTTCTTCTCGAACGCAGTTTTCCAATATATACTGTCTGGCTCACTTTTAGACCCTGCCAGTACCCTCTTGAGGCTTGACTGGCAGCAGTATTTGATTGAGCAAGTCTATCACGACAGGCACACTGGTATTCCCTATGTCACTCTTTTGGAAAGTGTGCTGTTTTGCATTTTATAATGGTAAAATGATATCAGTCCTTTAAAACAGAATAACTTCATATCTTTTATAGTAAGAATAACTACTATATATTATTCTACTGACGACTCTATGAAGAACTTCTTATCCATGACTTTGTTGTTTAACTGGTATACCAGCTCTCTATGGTATTTATTAATGTCCAGTGTAGAGGTAAGGCACTAAATCTTAGGGAGGTCAAGCAGTTTGCCCAGAGTTATGGTAACTGGTCACAGGTGAAGAACCAAACTGAGCCCAACCAATTTTCAAATCTCTGCTTGTGTCTTTTTTATTCTGCCACCATTACCTACTGTGGTTTCACTTTGTGTGGGTGTTAGCTTTATGACTTTTCAGTCAGATGATGAATATTTGCTCACTTTGTTTACTGACTGTTGAAGGAAGGAAAAATAAAAATAGAAAAATATGAGTCATAAAATTTCCTCCTGTTTATAAATGTTCACGGTATACAGCTATAGGTCTAAGTCAGCTGTGGTGAATCTATGGCACGTGTGCCATGGCAGGCTGTTTGTTATCACTGAATGCTCTAAAAGGTTCGCCATCACTGGTCTAAGTTACAGATGTTTTACTATCACATCACTAAAAGTCTATAAGGAACAGTGTGTGTGTGTGTGTGTGTGTGTGTGTATGACATTTTAATTAAAAATTATCAGAAGTCTATTACAGGACAAAGTAAAATGCCAATGGAAAAAGATTAAAATGTTGTCTGCTCCCTCTAAAAAATCTACCCGTTTAAAGAGATTTACGTAATTCAAAGATCTCATTATTTGGAAAACAAAACTTAAACAAAACAAAAAACCCCAAAACAACCAACAAAAACCCAAAACTACACAATAAAACAAAAAATTCATATCAAACCAAGCTACTCACTAAACAAAGAATCAAACCTAAAAACAAGAATGTGAAATAATAAGAATCAATAAACATCAGTGAAGATATTTTAATGAATAACATATCCCTAACAGCTCAGAAATTTGTATTTTTTAAAAATGGAATTTTAAAAATTACCAATGGCATTTCCCATTTGTAAGCATTTGTGACAAAAGACCCATCGACAGTTTTCTGTGTAATAAGGAAAAAGGCGAGAGCTGGAAGAGGCACTCCAGTCCCCTTTACTTACATCAGAGGTTCCAGAGACTTGGGTTTTATGAAGATGGCAATGGGATAGAGCTGGGCAACTTGTAACCGCTTGATAGCATTTCCTGATACATCAAGTATACAGTGTTTGCCCTGGTAGAAAGAGAAGAAAAATACGGGATTAATGCTGAAAGAATGGTTCAAAGGTCTGTTTTATGTCAAATGCCATGCCATTTTAGTTAGTTAATATGGCTCTAGTATGTCTGGAAACTAGGTACAGTGGCTTCAGATTTACTTTTTTGTTCAAGACTACTTAGGCTATTTGCAGTCTTTTGTGTTTCCATATGATTTTTTCTAGGTCTATGAAGTACCGTGAAGCACCAGTACATAGCATTGCTTTAGGTAGTATGGATTTTTTTTTGGGGGGTACTGAACTCAGGAGCTTGTGCTTGCCAGGCAGGTGTGGGTGCCACTGAGCTAAATCCCCACCTTGGTAGTATGGATGTTTTAACAAATTCTTTCATTGGAGAGCTCTTTTCTTGCCTCAGTTAAATTTGTGCCTATGTATTTTATTTTTTATGTAGCTATTGCAAATGGCATTTCTTTTATTATAGGTGCATAAAAAATCTACTGATTTTTGGGTATTGATTTTCTTTTTCTTTTTCTTTTCTTTTCTTTTTTTTTTTTTCTTTCTTGGTACTGGGGACTGAACTCAGGACCTTCTGCTTGTGAGGCAGGCAATGAAACCACTGAGCTAAATCCCCGGCCCCTGTGTATTGATTTTCTATCCTGCTACTTTACTAAATTTGTTTTTTGGTTTTAATAGTCTATTGATGGAGTCTTTACATTTGTCTATTTATAAAATTATGTCACACACAAGAGAAATAATTTGACTTATTTTCTTCTCAGTTTTAATGCTTTTCTTTTTATTGCCTAATTCCTCAGTGTAAAATTTAAGGTACTATATTGAATAAGAGCACTGAGAGTTGAATATCCTTGTCTTATTCCTGATTTTGCAGTACTGGGGATAGATCTCAAGACCTTGTGCTCCCTGGTTGATCTTTGACTTGTAGGCTCAAGTGATCATCCTGCCTCAGCCTGCCTCATCCTGTCAAACAGCTACAGGGGTATAACTTACATTTAGCAGATTTGATAATATTTTTGTTGAGAATTTCTGCATCTATGTTTGTCAAAGATTTTCTGTAATTTTCTTTAGTTGTGTCCTTCTCTGGTTTGATAATTATAACAAATATTGACTAGAGTAAATTTGGAGGAGTTCTCTCCCTTTTAATTTTATGACTGAGAAAGATTGATATTAATTCTTTAAGAGGTTGATAATGTAGCAGTACAGTTAAATGGGCATGAGCTTTTCTTTGCTAGGAAACGTTTAATTATTGATTTAGTACCATTGTTATTGATTCAGGATTTTTATTTGTTCATGGTTCAGCTGTGACAGGCCATGGAAACGTCCATATCTTCTGAATTTTCGTATTTGTTAGCATGTAGTTTTCATAATAGTCTCTAATGATCCTTTGTATTTCCATGGTATCAGTTGTAATGTCCCCTTTTTCATCTCTGATTATGTATTTGGGTCCCCTCTTTTTTTCCTGGTGAGCTTAAAGGTTTGTCCTTTTAAAAAAATTTTATAAAAAAACCCAAATCTAGGCCCAGGGATTTAGCTCAGTGGTTCTGCTGCCTGCCTTGCAAGCACAAAGTCTTGAGTTTGATCTCTGGTAACAAAAACAAAACAAAAAAATCAAGTCTTTGTATGATCTATTGTGTGTATGTTTTAATGTCTGTTTCTAGAGACTCTATTTCTGCTCTGATCTTTATTTCTTTCCCTCTGCTAATTGGCATTGGATTATTCTTGCTTTTCTAAGTCCTTGAGATGTACAGTTAGGTTATTTATTTGCAATCTTTTTACATTTTTGATGTGGGAACTTATTGCTGTAAATTTCACTTGTACTGCTTTTGCTGAATCCCTTAAATTTGGCTATGTTGTGTTTTCATTTTCATTTATTTTGAGAATATTTAAAATTTCCCTCCTATAACTTTTCCCATTCAAAATGTCTCCATGTATTTGTGTAGTTTCTAAAATTTATTTTGTTGACTGTTTTTTTACATTGTAATCAAAATAGACATAGGATATGATTTTACTTATTTTGAATTTGGGATTTGTGTATTATCTATTTTAGAGAACGTTCCATGTGCCGATAAAAGGAATGTGAATACTGCAGCTATTGGGTAGAATGCTCTGTAATTATGAAGTCTCTTTGATTTGTAGTATAGTTTAACTTTGAAGTTTCTTTGTTAAGTTTTTTTTGGGGGGTCTGGATGATCTGCCTGTTGATGAAAGTGGGGTATTGAAATCCCTCACTATTATTGTATTGGTGTCTAATTCTCCCTTTAGGTCTAAGTACTATTTATTTTACAAAATTAGGTTCTGCAATATTAGATGCATGTATATTTACAATGATCATTTCTTCTTGTTGAATTGATTCTTTGGTCATCATTACAGTAACCTTATTTGTTTCTTCTCAGTTTTGTCTTAAAGTCTATTTTGTCAGGAATAGCTGCTCTTGCTTGTTCTACATTTCCTTTTGTGTGGGATATCACCTTCTGTCTGTTCACTTTCGGTCTATGTGTATATTCACTGGTGAAGTTAGTTTCTTGTAGGCAGCATATTGATGAGTTTTTCTCTTTAAATCCATTCAGCCAGACTACATATTTTAATTGGAGAATTTAGTAGTATTTATATTCAATGTTGTTATTAATAAAAAAGGACTTGTTTTGTTGATTTTCTTTTAGTTTTTTAAATAATCTTTGTTCCATTGTGCTTTCATGATTTGAGTCTTTCTCTTATGTTTCTATTCTTCTCGAGTGATTTATACTGTCATAATGTTAGTGATATTACACTTCTGAATGTAAGAGTCCTTTAGTAACTTTTTTTTTCGGGTTGGTCTGGTGATCATTACTTCCCTCATTTATTGCTTGTCTTGGAATGACTTTATTTCTCCTTCATTTCTGAGGGACAGCTTTGCTAGGTAGAGCAGTCTTGGTTGGTGGTTATCTTCTTTCAGAATTTGGAATATGTCATTCTGCTCCCTTAAGGACTAGCAAGTTTCTACTGAGAAATCTGGCTGGGCGTGGTGGTGCACGCCTGTAATTCCAGCACTCGGGAAGCTGAGGCAGAAGGATTACTGTGAGTTCAAGACCAGCCTGGGCTACATAGTGAGTTCCAGGTCAGTCTCAACTACATAGTAAGAACTTGTCTCAAACAAACAAATAAACAAACAAACAAACAAACAAAAACCCCCAAAAAACAAGGGCTGGAGATTTAGCTCCGTGGTTCTAGCACCTGCCTTGCAAATGTAAGGACCCCAGTTCGATCCCCGGTACCAAAAAAAAAAAAAAAAGGAAGAGAAATCTGCTGTTTAGGCTGAGGCTGGTTTTAAATGTGACTTGGCATTTTTGTTTTATAGACTATAGAAATTTTTTCTGTCTCTTTAATAGTTTCTTTATAAATATGCTGTGGTGAAGTTTTTTTTTTTTTTTTTTGGTCATATCTGTTTTGGGTTCTATAAGATTCCTATATATGGGTTCCCTTATCTTTCCCAAAATTGGAGTTGTTACTATAATTCACTTGAATAGTTTTCCACATACTTAACTTTCTTCCCTTTCTTTCAGGTACTGTAAAAATGCAGATATTTGTACATTTAATAAGCCCCACAGATCTTGAATAGTTTCTTCATTCTTTTGCTTGGGGTATTTCAAAAGACTTGCCCTCAAGTTCAGATGTTCTTCTATTTGATCTACTTTGTCATTGAGGCTTTCAAGCATATTTTTTGACTTTTACATTTCCAAAATTTTTGTCTGGTTCTTTTTCCAAATCTCTTTTTTTCTGAGTCTCTCATTTACATGCTGTATTTTCTTTCTTTCTTTTTTTTTTTTTTACTTGCTGTATTTTCTTAATTTCATTTAACTGTTTATCTGTATTCTCTTAGATCTCACTGTATTTTTTAATACTCATTCTTTTACATTACATCCATTTTAGTTTCTATGCAATTGTTGCTAGAGTTACTGTGTTCTTTTGGAGGTATCATATTGCCTTGATCTTTCATGTTTCTTATTCTCCTACATTGAGATTTATCTGGAGCAACAGGTATGTCTGCCACTTTTCTGAGGTGGCTTTTGTAGTAAGCTGCTTTCTCCTGTATATGTCTTTAGAGGGTCTGACAGTATTGATTTATTGCCCATGTTGGCTTTGCTTCTAGTTGGACACCATAACGCAGTCTTCTATAGTCACTTTGGCGATGGTTATTGACTTTGTGCACAGTGTGTGCTATGGTAGAGTTAGATGTCTGAGTGGGGTACTTAACAATTCAAACAGGTGTAGTACAGAAAGCAGTGGGTGTGGGAGCTCCCATTGAGGGGTGGGGGGTTCCTCAGGCACTATTGGAGCCAGCTGTTTTAGTAGAAAGGGCCTCCGGCACTGGTGGCTTCAGCAGTAGTGAGGAACCACAAACACTTTTCTTTACCAGTGAGTGGTGAGGCCACATATGCTGCAAAGGAGGAGGTGCTGGTGGAAACCATAGCACAGTACCTGTGGCTCTCACAGCCAATCTAGGTAACAGGGTGTTTTCAGACAAGGTGCAGTGGCTCGAAGCAGCAGGAACTGTGGTATTTTGTTCTTCTGCTTCAGTGATAGTGACTTCCTGGGAGCAAGACCATAGCTAGGTGTGGATGACAGTAGTGGCTTTTCTTCCTCCAACTGCTTAAGTTTTAATTTCTGCCCAAGAGCAAGCAGAAGTGCGATGTGAACAAAGCTGGGCGGAATTGCTCTTGCCACCCACCCCTCAGCATTGCATGCCTAGGGGCAAGGTGACAGTTGAGGTACAGTACATTTGCTTAAGGGTTCAGCACAAACCTGTGGCCAGGGCAGCTGAGAAAACTATGCATGGTGTTATCTTCCTTCTCTGTCAGTAATAGGTACCTGAAGGTAAAGGGGTGAAGCGTAGCTGGAATAACTTTGGTGACTGCCATCAGTCCTGGAACTGACTATGCCTCTGGTGTCAGGGGGAGGCTCCTGATTTCCTGGTTTCATGAGGGTAACACACTTGAGACACCATTGCACTTGGCTCAAAGTTATTTTTCTGGGCTGTTGTGTTTACAAGGTGCTACCCACTGAATCAGTGCAATAGGATGCTTTTGGGATCCTAGAGCTGGAACCAAAGGGTTTCTGATCTAGAACAGTCTAATTTCAGACAATAGCTCATTTTTCAAGTTGGTTCCAGGCTATAGCATCCTGGTTGTTCACTGGGAGATTATGTGAAATCCTCTTCCAAAGAAAGGCTATTGTGCAGAAATCATTACTTAAGTGGGCTGGAATCCTGGGAGGATTGTGACAGTTTTTCAGTAGCTAGGATTGCTAGCAGTAGCCTTTACAAAGTTTGCTGTAACTCTTTTTCACTTTTACTCTTTCAAAGGCAAAACACTCTGCTGTCCCAACAGAAGAGCTGGGGTTGAAGTTTCCAGGGTGTGTGTCTTGCTATCCAATTTCCCATGTCTCAGAATCTTACAAAGCTCCAGTCTCTTTCTTGCTGATTTCTACTAATCTACCATCACTCACCTCAAAATGTAGCTTTATACCTATTACTTTGGTTCTTCTCTTAGAGAAAGAGGTGAGTCCTATTCAGAGGTGATCTTCTATTCAGCCATCTTTTCCTCTCAGCAAAATTTATTTTTAAATCTTTTATCAGTACGTCATATGGGGGAAAATAGTGATCTCAAATCAAATAAACCCAATAAACAGATTCTCCTGTGACATTGGCCCCATATTCTTATTGGAGATAAGATCTCTCTATAGGCAGACTTTATTTTATTTTTTGGTACCAGGGATTGAACTTGGGTCCTTATGCTTGCAAGGCAGGCACCAGAACCATTGAGCTAAATCCCTGGCCCTACAGACAGATTTTGTTTTTCAGCTTTAATTGAGTTTATTGGTACATTTTAGGGATACAGTACAGTTACATTCATTGTTGGGATCTTGTACCTCTACAGGACAAGTCTTGATTCTCATTTTTTCTCCTTGTCCCTGCCCTCCCTTCACCCCCTCTTCCCCTCCCCATCTACAACCACTTTATTTTCATCTTTTCATTCTCTCACATTTTTTTCTTTTCCCTTTTTACCCTTCCCCTACCAATCCCACCGTCCCTACACCTTTAGCTCCTTTCTTCCCATTTCTAAATGTCAGTAATCTTATTAGGATCTTATGTATTATCCTACAGACAGATTTTAAAGCCACAGTCCTGTTCATTCCTAAACTACTCTCTCTTAAACAGTCTCCACTTTCCCATTCTTCTGACATTTTCAGGAAGAAGGAAATTGCAATGATAAAACCTCTTCTAAAGTGGGACTTCTGGCAGCTACAGAGTTATCTATGTCCCCCTCCACTGTGAAGGTGTTAGGTTGAATTATAAGGAGTTACTCTTTCTCTTTGAAAACCTATCTTGAAAGTAAGAGTAACAAAACTTCCTTAATAAGTTCAGTTTTATTGACTAGTCTCAGATAGTGAGTCAAGGACAAAGGGAATCCCCAGACACTTCAGATTGTTAATGGACTTCAGGATTACAGGTTCCATTCTTCCTCCCCTTCTCAAAGTCAGTCAGCATATTTCAGTGATCTTAGAATAAAGATTAATGATACTGTTCTAAGATGATTCTCTGCTTGCGTATCTTAAATGAAATATTTAATCAAAATTTACAATTGCAATTAGGAAAGAGTAATGATTAAAAACAAAAAAACAAACAAACCATAGTTCATCACCCAGAAAGCTTCTTCAGGGGAGTTGTAAGAACACCGGCAAACGTACCCTTTCTGCTACAAATCTCACAGACTGCACACTGGTTCCATATAAGTTGTCATTGTACTGGCCGGCTTCTATAAATTTGTGCTCTTGAATATCTTTCTCCATTTGTTCTCTGGAAATGACAAAGTGATAGTCTCTGCCATCCACTTCATAGTCACGCTTTGGCCTTGTAGTATCTTTATGAAACAAGAAGCGATAAAGTTAAGATGTCTGTATATTTGTCAACTTGCCTCCTACTTTATTCACCACACCTTCAACACAGATACATAGATATATGTAATGTGATGGATAGAACATAGTAACAGGTATCAGTCTCACTTCCCTACTACAAACAACTCTAAAACTGTACAAAATGTATGGAACAACTGTTTGTTTTGTTTTGTTTTTTGATACCAGGGATTGAACTCTGTTTCTTGTGCTTGTGAGGCAGGCAGCAGAAACACTGAGCTAAATCCCCAGCCCTGGAACAATTGTTTTCAGGTATCAGACAACAGAAAGTGACAGAGCAGTAATTTTTACACGAGGGAAACTATATTCACTCTACCTCTTTGCCAAGAGCAATTTCCAAGTGGTGAGTCTGGAGAATATACAGTGTTAGGAGACACTGAAGTTTAGCCAGAACTGAATATTTGATTAAGACCCCAGAAAATCCACATTCTTGAAAGCTATTTTAGGTGGGTATGCTGGCACATACCTATAATTCCAACTCTTGGTAAGCTGAGGCAGGAGGAGTGCTGAGAGTTTCAGGCCAGCCTGAATTATAAGGCAAGGCTGGGCCTTAAATACACACACACACACACACACACACACACACACACACACACACACAGCTACTCTAGATCCACCTTTAGAATACCTAAAACCAAAGTGGAACAAGCTGTTCTCTTAGTAAGTTACTCCTTGCCATATCAAAATTATTCTATAAAGTAAGATAACAAAATCCATACTCTTAACAGTAGAGCACCATGATATCCAACACAAAGAAGAAAATGTGTCCCATAAGAAGGAAGACAAAAAATTGGACATGCAGTTATAAATATATTCAGAGCTTTAAAAATATGGAAATCAACATATTTAACTATTTCGGTTATATGTTCTGGTAAAAAGAGAAAACAATCAACCTATATGATTTTAAAAAGTTAAAAGTATTTCCAAACTAAGTGTAGTGGTGTAAAGCTGTAATCCAAGTACTCTGGGAGGCTAAGGCAAGGGGATTGCAAGTTTTAAGTCAGCCTGGTCAATTTAGTGAGAACCTGTCTCAAAATAAATATAAAAACGCTGGGGATATTGGGATGTAGCTCAGGGAAGAGGCCCTGGGTTCAATCCCCAGCATTGCCCCCTACATCATTAAAATATTTTCGACCTTGACTCAATTATTTCTTTTCTAAGACACTATCTTTTAAAAATGATCAAGGTAGCCATGATGGTGGACACTTGTAATTCCAATAATTCAGAAAGCTGAGGCAGCAGGATTTCAAATTTGAGTCCACCTATATAATTCAGGGAAACACTGTCTCAAAATAAAATAATAGAAGGCCTAGAGATGTAGGTCAATGGCTTGTCTACCACGTGCAAGGCCTTGGGCTCAATTCCAGTACCACCAAAGAGAAAGAAAAAGATCAAAATTTCAGATGCAGTTTTATCCTTAAAGATGTTTATTATGTTAACTTTTAAATAATACACAATTATATTTTATTATAATTCACAATAAAAATAGAGAAAATCCAAAATGTGTATGAATGAAGGATGATTGTATATTAATCATTTAAAATAGTTAAAAGTTTTATCCTGGAAAAATGTATGCATTGGAAAAAAGAATATATAGAAATTTACCAAAACACTATTACATCTGCAATGTTATTTCCAGATATTGTGTGAGACTGAGTCCTTTTTATTTTTTCCTTTAACCCTTTTTAGTATTTTTCAAGTTCTACACAAGAAACATGTATAGAATTTGAAATCACAATCATAACATAGTGAACTAAGAAAAAGAATGAAATAAGAGATAAGTGTTCACAATGTGGAAGAGAAGTGAAGATGATGCTTAAGGTCTGTTTTCTTTCCTCATAAGTAGAAGTTGAAACAGGAAGCTGGTGTCAACAACCTAGGCTTTTACTTGAGCCTTCTCGGCTGAAGACATTTTTAGGATCGGTGGTATGGTAGGACTTTTCCCCTGGGTATTTGCTTGGAATCATTTCATGAGATACTGTATAGCAATTATCTTAGTCCTCTTTTGTCCATGTATTATTACACATAATTTCTGATATTCTTTAGTGTTCTAGGTGAAGTAGGCCACACTGAAATGTTGGAGACACTTGAGAGCCTGAAGCTTAAAACGATATACAGAGAAATTTTTAGGATCAAATTTGAGATTCACTATTTAATAATTTAAAATTTCCTCTTGGGCTTGTCTACAAGCATGGAAGGTCTCTGTGGATGGGATGAGTGGAGAAGTATGTTTGTGGTGGGAATGGAGAGAGGTCTAGCAGAAAGCATCTTGCAGCCCTACACTCAGTGGGCCTAGGTGACCTGATTACTGCTTATAATAATAAAGCAAACTTAAGTCTATGGTGGCCTAGAGGGTCAGAATACAGATACCTTCTTGTTCTTATTTTTCTAAGATATGGAACTATGAAAATATAGGGGAAAAGCCATTTTGTTTGGAATTGACAAACTGTCATAAATGAACCTGAAGTGGTTTTAATATATGGTTTTTTATGGAAAAATGATGCTACAAATGTTGTTTCAGCCTATATATAAGAACATATGATGCCTATCGTAAATCCATGCTGATTTGCATGTTAAGGGGTTTACAATGATCCTTCTGCCTTCTAGTGGACAAAAGTCAGTTTAGAGAAAACATTATTATACTTGTAGCATAGATGGAAAGTGTGAGGCATGGAAATTAGGTAAAGTGTTCAGATAGTAACTGATTCTATATGAATCCGAAAGGAGATCACTGGAGAGACAGAAGTGCATCAACACATAAAGGATATGAGCATTTTCCTGAAAAATGATACTTACGAGGCACACACGAGCCAAATTTATCAGGAAATTCAGATATCAAATCATCATTGATTCGATCCTTCATGGGTCCCAGGATAATCACTGGCCGGGTATAGTTTACTGCAGATAAGGAAAGGAAAAATGCAAGTGAGGGGAAAGACTTGGAAATGACAGCAAAACTGTCCTGAAAAGGAAGTTCTTAAGGTGACATTGCCAAACCAAACTGCTAAGGTTATAACTATAGCTAAATTAGCCCTAAGGCTTGTATAGAGAATTGTATGTTTAGCCCCAAGGGTGCTGCTGTGCCTACTTTACAAATAAGGAAAAGCAACTGCAGCAATTGTCAAAGAAGAACCATTTGGAGGATTTTGCTTATTCTCAGGTTATGCCTACACAATGTCAAAACAACTGAATTCAGTCAACTGAGAGGGAGGGGAAAAAGAAAGAATTGAAACCAGCTATTTGGCTATTGTTTAAAAGTAATTGTTAGTAGTAATGACACCTTTATGTTTTTGTAATTTCCTCAGCTCAAACTATTCTCTATACTCTGCTGAGTTCTCTCCAATTCCTTTGTGTGTGATAGTAGAAAGAACTCTAAAGTCCATTTGGTACAAGTCCCGAACTGATGCTTGAATTTTCTCTGAAATATCTCTTGGCAATGGTCACCAGCCTAGGTACAAATGACTCCAGAGAAAAGGAAGCCAGGCTCCTGGAACAGCGTGCAGATGGCCTGTATCTTAGGTCTGCAGAAAAATCTTTCTCAAAACTGGGCTGACTTCAGCATCGCAGGATTTCTCCATCAGTCCTCTCACTAGGGCTCAGGTGATTTGGATATTCCCGTTCTTACTAGACAGCTCATTTGAAGAGTGCTCCATCTTCTAAGGAGCTGCTGTTCCCTGCTCAGCAGGGAAGCTGTTTGTACAGTGACAGGGCCAAAAAGAGACTTGGAGTATGGTTTGGGGACAACTGAGCACTGAGCTGTTTTATTTTGTTTAGTCCTTTACTCTTTCCCTTCTTCAGCAATGTCACCTGCTATGACCTGGCAATCAGGAACCCCAGATATGCCGAGAAACTTACTTTCCTGCCTTGTGACAGGCTCGTAGGAAAGAATGAGGTCTTCTTGCCCCCCTGAGAAGAGAAGAAAGGAAGATTATAGTCAACTAACCATCAGTGATGCCCTAAAGCTATAATCCCTGCTCTGAAACATAGGAAATAGACAGTTCAGGGTTAAATTTCTTGCTTTCTCTTTTTGAACCATTTGGAAATTCCTTCAGCCTCATAACTATTTTGTGTTGGGTTATTACATACCAAGTCATAACTCTAATAACTGGCTGCTAGCTATGTGCTGCAGAGCAATGACCTGTTAGACTGCCTTCGGTCTGACCTTAGAAGTGGAGTGCCATGTCTCTACACCAAGTGGGACCACCTAAAGTAAAGCCATTTAGTACAAGGAAAGGGTACATCCAATAGTTTGTTGCTACCTAATCAGAAGCTCTGTTCTTTTGTCTATTTTATTTCCTTACAAAGCAAGTTGCTCAAAAACAGATGTCTGTATATTACAGGATTTTAGCTAGGGATAATAAAGGTTTTACTCTAATAACATTAAGTCATGAGGAAAATGCTGTGGGTCAATTACAGAAGATTATAAATGTACAGGGAGTAGGGGCATAGCTCAGTGGTAGTGTGTGCTTAGCATGTGTGAAGCCCTAAATTCTATTCCCTGCATTAAAAAAAAGAAGTGCCCAATATCACTGGTTATAATTGCTGCTAAATCATGCCTTGAAACTTCCAAAAGGGAGCTAAGGAGGTAATGTAGTAAAGTGTCAGCCCCTCCAGTGCGATTTGCAGCAAACCTTATGGCTCAGTATATCCCTTAAGTCAACAAATAACTGTGGAAAGTAAATTGGCCTTTGAGAATTATATTTTCAATCATCTGTTTTATCCAGTTGACTAATTGGCCACAGGATCAGCCCAATTGAGCTGCAGAGACTGAAAGCTAAGCTCCTATATTTTTAGTAGACTTAGTCCTAACCTTTGATGAAAAACAGGTTAGGACTGTTGAAAATGTGAGACTTCATGCCTACTACAGGAGATAGTAGTGGAGGAGAAATGGACCATGAAGTAGTCTTTTCTGAAGCCAAAGGGCAATTAATCTCATTGTTTTAACTACTTAACAGTCCAATTATTTAAATACAGGATGACCAAAAATTACATTTTTGATTAATTTTTATAATATAACAGGTAGTATAAAGATGACAATTTTTTCAAGTTTATTCAATACAAGAAGTGACCAGTTGAAATGACACCTGCCGGAGTTACTCTCAGGAGGGTGAGTATGTAAACAAATATGCTGCCTGAATGATGCTCAGGGAAAACTGTTAGATGGTTAAATGCTCACTAACCCTGAGACACGTTCGTTCATTCAGTCTGCCATTGCCAAGTTTCCCTTTGTAGCCCAGGCACCAGGGAAAAGTGAGTTAATTTCATACAAGGAGGCAATCAATAGTGTGTATAGTTTTGGTAATAGCAACTGACGTGAAGAAGTTAAGTACGGGTAAAGTTGAGTACAGATGTCTTTCTTGGAGTGTTGGTATCAGCATAGGGTGGGTGGGCTTTTCTTTAAGTGTAAGAAGTGGCTGCTGGCTTAAGTCACATCTTATATCTATTTTGAGAAGGGCTTGATTTCAAAATGGCACTGCTAGGCCACACTATACCCTAAAGACACGGAGAATGGGTCTTAATGCTCCTCATAACGGGCATCTTATCCATGGTTGCTCTAAGATGGTCAGCTTCACATTTTTTCTTAAATGCAGAAAAAGAATGTTTCCATTTGAATAAACTAAAATTCACAGTCTAGGCCAAAGAAAGTGATTGATTGCTAATGCCTGAGATAGAGGTCTTAAGCATTCAGAAGATAAATATAAAAATTATTGAGGAAAAGTATAGTTTTAGGCATAGAAACATAGTAGACTAATATTACAACGTTTGATTGTAACTTTACAGGGAGAACTTAAAGAACTAGTTAATATATGAGTGGGGAGATCTTGATCATAGGATAACAAAAGCTCCAAATATCAGCAGATATCTAAATCTGCTCATTTTTGGGGGAGATACAGGCAAAGACTGAGTTTAATTCATCACTGTGTCCCCAGTGCCAGAGAAGTGCTTAATGTAAAATAAAACTGTATTCTGAGTTCAGTTGTAAAAACAGGGTGAATAATAAGGCCAAAGATAGGTTCTGCTTTGTGTTTTGTCCTAATTCACTTTAGGAAATGGTTTTCTCTAAATAAGTACATCATGCTTCCATATGAATTTCTTTTCAGTAGCCTTGCAAAGCATTTTCATGGGACATTCAAGAGGCAAAGCTTAAATAAGATGTTTGATGTCAGTATGTATAACTTGTGATTCTGAACACCAATGTAAAAAGTAGTTTGTTAATGTTATTAGAGAATTCTACAGTTCCTTGCTTATTCATTCCTTTTTGGTTTGTTTCTGTAACGGTACAAGGAACTGTTTTTTTGTTCAGAGCATCAGCACTGGCAGGGAGTAAAAAGCACATCTTTTATGTCAAAGCACACCTAATCCTCAAGGCACCGTGAAAACTGGATATTGTGTAACACCTAGGAACCTGCAGGGAAGCTGGGCAGGTTTCCATCCCATATTAGCTGTGATTTCAGCACCTTGAGCCGATTTTCACTTTGAGGCTCAACAATGAAATGCTCTTGGAGTAACTGAAAGGAAATCAGAAGGAGAGGGAAAAAAGTTTACTATAATGAGGGAAAGGAAATTCATATCACTATGATGCTTTACAGGTGCAGAGGGGCTTTTCACATCCTCTGGCTTCTATTTTTCAGACCTTTCTAGAGAGTAAGGATGCTGCCGACCCTCCTTTTACAGATGGAAACAGCAGTTCAAAAATGTTTCCTCAGCTAGTGACTAGTAGAGTCAACGTTTAAAATCACATCCTTCTTTTAGATTCTTTTGAATATATCTCAAAAGGAAGAGAGATGTGAAATTCTGTGAGGGGTAGTAGAGTAGGGCTTACAAAGAACAAAAGGGTGTGAGCAGAAGCCAGGTCAGAGTCATTGAGAGGCCATATGGTCCCATCTGTAAATACCAGCTCTTTAAAAAAATTTTTAATACTTCTGTGTCATCTCCATAAAACAGTCATCCTTAGTAGTTTTTCTATTTTTTTCCTCAGAAGAGGCTGGCATTTAGAAATAACAGCTGGCAAAAAGGTACAAACTATTTTTTGGTCTTGTTTTGGCAACCGCAAGGCTGGAAGTGGGCGAGCAGCGGAGCTGTGTGTGGACGTTTGCAGCTGCCAGAGACTTGGCAGAGGACTCTGTTACAGTCTCCACGAAACATTTTGTGTGTAAACTAGAAGCAAAGCTGCAGTGAGACATATCTGGAATAAGGCCCTACTGGGCCTTCAGGACTGAGAAAAGCGACTTGCTGTTCTTTAGGAATTCTTGGAAACAAAGAGGAGAGAAGTGAAGACCAGTGGTAGTGCATTTAATGTTCTAGCTTTAGTTTCTGCCGCCTGCCTGCCTGCATGAAGTGGCTATTAAGAATAAGTAGGTTGTTAGAGCCATGTAATGTTAGTACTAAAAAAGGTTTTGGCGTTCCAGTGCTTCATAGACAAGTCTGTAGTAGCACGTGTTGTTCCAGCCCTAATCTGTGTTCCTGAAAGGCATCACAGACTGATCATTGTCCCCATTACTGCTGAGACTCAACATGGCCTAGGAATACTTTTCAAGAGAATTCTTCAGACAGCTATTACTGGATGGTCAGAGTTGAGATCTATTTTCTGTCTCAGGTCTAACCCAAGATACTTGGTTTACATAAGGGAGAATTGAGACGTTGGGTAAGTTTTACAAGGTCACAGATTGTTTCCATAGGACATTTGAAAGATTAAATGATATAATAAAGCCCTTACACTGAAGCTTCGTGTATAGTTAATACTATATAAAACTTGATTGTATTCATTTGGTGGGTAGTATGGAATGGTTAAGATATACCAGATAAAACATCAGGAAGTTTGGATTATAAATAAGGAGTGAAAAGTATATGGGATTCAGACTGAAAAGGTTTGGCTTGGAACTGTAGTGCTACTACTCTACTGGTAGTAGAGCTTCAACTTCCCTCTGATGTAAAATGGGATATTAATGGAAAAAATGTCTAATAGATTTATTGTAGAAATCAAATGAGAGTGTAGATGTAAAGGAAAAAAGGCTTATAATGAACTAAAGATATTGACAGGTGACACCTGACAGTGCTAAGGAGAAGAATATGGGGAGAGGTCTTGGTTCTTATCTCAATGTCATTTTCCCTCAAGATCCTTATTCTGAAAATTCTATTAAACAATAAAACACTAATGAGTTTTTAAGTGTAATATCTGAAGACTAAGATTCAAGAAAGGAAAGCTTTAGCTGTCAAGGTTTGCCTGATCCCCACTTCATACCTGCTTAGTAATTATCATCCCCTGGTACAGGCTAATTATTCAGATAGCTTTGAAGTTGTATTTTGCATAACTGGACAATGTGTATTGTAATTAACTGCATTTTAGTTGCTATTCAGCATGGTTGGGCTTGGGAAAATGATTCTATAGGGCTTGAGATCATGCAGCAGATGTCTAAACTCTACCAGAAATTAGTGTCATTGGTCTACCTAAAACCCAATAAATAAGTTATATTTTTCCTCACACTAAATTGAGAATAGCTCAGGAGTCAGAAAAACAACCTTGGTCACTTATTCTTGACCTGATTTCTTGGTTTAAAGTCATATGAAGAGTGGCAGAGGCTATTTTTTCCCTTGAAGTTAGGTTAATCATAAAATTTTAGGAGCAGGAAGAATGTGATAATGTTAAGAAATCATGTAGAGGGCCAGAGGTTTAACTCAGTGGCACCATACCTGCCTGGCAAGCACAAGGTCCTGAGTTCGACTCCCAGTATCAAAAAAACTCAAAAGCCAAAAAAAAAAAAAGTTTAGAACAAGAACTCTAATCCTTTCATCAGTAAAACTTGATGAAATTCTTTCAAAATTTGACTTTTATCAGAAAATTGGGTGATTTGTTACAATTCAATCATTTTATTCTTTGGTCTGTCTCCTCTTCCTCTTCTGGCCCCTACCTTTACCTGCCATTTTTCCTCCTTTCTAACAATCTGACCCCGCACAACTTTTCTCAAAATCCAAATTACATTTACCATACTCCAATATGTGGCACTCCACCTCAAAAAGCATGGTTTTGTAAAGTATTATGCTATAATGAGAAAAATACCCAACACAACTTTACTTTTTATTTAGTATAATATTCAGGCAAAAGACGATACCAATTTCTGCCTTGGTAGCTATTAGTCATATATTGGACTACAGGTTTTCTTCTACACTTGGCCATTACTTTTTGAGCAAGCAATTTCACTAAGTAATACAATGTAATATTACAGAATTCATAATGATTCCAATGATAATAGGTACCTATACTAGTCACCAAAACCAATAAGAAACCACGAGAACTGATCGAAAGGATGTGCTTGGTGTTTGGTGAATATTTCCATACAAAAAGCAAATGGCTTGACGTAACCAAAGAAACACAAGAAGGAATTTTTAAACAGTTACCTACCTTTTCAGTTAAGTTTTCTGACCCAACAAGTTCTGTTCACTTTTTCAAAGAAAAGGGTGTAGGAAGAGGAGGAGTTCCTTCAACATTAGAGGATCAAATTTTTTTGTATCAGTTTTCCAACCATCCCCCAAATAAAATTAGATGTGTAGATTTGTATCTACCTTAAAATATGGAATATTGCAATTTATATAGCTTGTGAAGGGGAACAAAGAAGAGAAAAGAAAAGGCAAAATGAGAAGGGAAATAAAGTCATGATGAAGTCTCCACCCTCCTGCAGGGAGTTTAAATTGTTTTGCGGGGTAGAATGCCAAGATTCACCTAGTTGAACTTCTCCTGCACCTTTCTTATGAAAATCGAATCATTGGGTCACAACCAGCTGAGGCTGCAGTTGACATTAATAAGACCGCTAATGCTTGAACAAATCAGAACAGATCACGTAAGGGTCCACTGATAGCCCTAGTGACTTTTGTACCTTTTTCACATCAAATGCTGATTTCATTTCAAGCCATTTGCTTTGGATAAGAATGATAAAAGGCAGCAATTGAAAAACAACAACACAAATCTGAAATGACCACCACAGGCAATGGGGCAATTGCAAAGAAAAGAATGGCAAACCAAAGCAATAACTTACGGCAGCTACTTTCGCTATCGCTGGCATTAGAAGAAACATGTTCTGCAAGAACAGCACAGCAAATTAAAGAGATACCAAGCATTGGAAAGCAGCCCAAACTGAAAGGAATACACTCATGCAAGGCTACTAGAAATGTGAGCAAAAGGCAAGTAAAAGGCAGCAGAAAAGTTCGCATTAAGAAAATTTGGATAAGATAAAGAAGATGAAAACTTTATCAGCATTTTTGCAGGAATCTTCTGCTTAATTACATCTTTTTAGCAAATAATGCAAGTAGTATATTTAATTTTAAAAAGTCAATCCAGGAAATTTTCTTTTTATAAACACTATGACTCATTCTTCTCGCTCTGATTTTCAGGTCCATCTTACAAAAGACACTGTGTCATAACTGAGTGTTTCTTAACAGTAAGTTGAGATTTTGGTTGGCAGGGACTGTTTTCTTGCAGGCTTTTCTATTTCTCCACTTTAGTCTTTAATTATTTTGAAGGAACACTGCATGCCAAGTCACTTATTGACCCCTGGAATCCTTTTAATTTTATTTCTGTTTAAATACTTTGTAAAATTCTCAGGGTGAAAAGGGATTCTGAAAGATCTTTCCCACTTCAGTGAATGAGCAGAAAATCTCAGCGGAAGAAATGTTTTGTGAATTATGTTTTTCTATTAAGATACTTAGTTGTATAGCAATTGGATTCTAGAGGGGTGAAACAGGCAGAGGATAAATGAACTGATACCCAGCACAGGTGCTGGGAAGGAGGAGGTTTTTAATTCAGTCTGAATGACTTACCTCTATGGAACATTCCCAATTAAAAAAAACAAACAAACAAACCACAACTCAGCCTAACATGACATTGATATATACATTAGTTGCATGCCAGAATTGGAGCTTTAATTTCCAAAGTCATTTTCATCTCTATTTGTTAATTTATATTTTACTAACTTCTCAGTTTATTCATGTATCACTTTAGCTAAATGAATTGTGTGATTATTTGATGTCTGAATCTTACTAACAATAACTTTGGTTTTTCAAAATGCTAACTATTGCATATTTTTGGAAAAGAACACAACACTGTTTCACAGTATAAAAATTGCTTTAAAATGCTTTGATACCATAAATTTTTGCCAGCTAATTGAATTAGATTTAGAGCATAAAATTAATGAAAACCAACTATGAGTTAAATTCCTACAAATCATTGCTCTTTGTGTTGGTCTATGAATAGAGCTGTACTACGAATTTGGCCACATATTTTACAGATGCAAAGGGGATCTAGGAAAAGGAATAAAGGAATGTAGATGAATCTGTACAGCCTGTTTTCTGCCACTGAAAACCTTTAAGGCATACAGCCAACAATAATAGTGTACCTTCATGTACATTACCATCTTAAGTACTTTGAGTTAGGAATGACAGGAGCTTTTGTTTTTGTCTTTTATTCAATCTATTAAATCGTTCCAATTTTAGTATTTGTGCTGCTGAAGCGAGCACTCAATCTGTTAAATCTATTATTTAATCTCTTCAGTTTTTAAAGAGTAAATAAATATAGATGTTCTGGATTTAAAAGGCCATCATTCCTATCTTTGACATAATAGCAAATTCTTTATACCGATGTTAATTATTAAAAAATATTGAAAGGAAAAACCTCTTTTTCCTTTTCAAGTTTAAAATTTATGAATTCTCTTTGATGGTGCTTCATGCTACGCCAATAATTTTGAAATGGGTATTTGAAGTCCAGCCACTGGTTCAAGACAAATTTCATGTATTTTATAAATGATTCAAAGATAAAGTTTTCATCTTTAAGATCAGTACTCTTGATCAGATTTTGTTTTCTATATATACATAGTTTCTTTTATAAGAAAAAACCACTCCAAATCAGTAACTTGAATTATGAAAGGTCATTATTCAAGGTTATATAAACAGCCTCTGGAAACAGGTTCAGTTCAGTGCTATTTTGTTTTATAAAATGAAATGAATAGCTTCTAAAAATATCATCTGTATCTGTTAAAACAAAACAAAGCTGAACAATGTGATACAATTGCAAAAGACAGAAAATTCTGTTCTTATTTCCCTGGTACCTATACCATGAGGTTAGTATTAAAGAAAGAAAAATCACAAGATTGTTAATTTAAATTGCTCAGTCACTGCAATGAGACACAGACCAAAGACAGGAATAATTAGAAAATATAAAGGTCTAATGTATCTTACTTTTCATTCTGTACTACAAAATGAAGACTGATTATATAATGCAGCTAATAAATCACTGATCTTAATAACTAAAACTTTATTATACAAACATTTCAAGCAGGATCACTTCAAGTCAGAGAAAAAGTCAATCAAAGTCAGTAACAATTATTCAAGGAAGATCGGGTAGATTTACTTGTTGATAATGCATGTACCTTTTGATTATAAAATAGCTCCTTTACTAATAGCAAAATATAACAATTATAGAATTTGGCAAAGTCATTAAATATTTTCATGTGAAAAGGCAGAGGAAAGCACATACAATATATATCTACTTTGCGATTCTAGAATATTTAGCTCCCCCTTTCTTGCAACATGGTTTCTTGCTCACTGGGAGGAATTAAGCAGCAGAGCAAGGGATGTTATGGTGGGCACCAGAACCATGTTGGCTGTGTCACATGTTCAGAAAGGGAGGGAAAGTGTTAACTGCAACAGAAGTTAGAGTGCCTGACACACTTTGCTTTTAAATGCTGACATGCAGAACAAAACGATTGAAAATTATTTTGTAGGAGCATTCACAGCTAGGTAACAAATAAAACTCGTATCTTGTGCATGCTAGGAGTGAAAGGCCCTCGAGAAAAGGAACAAAAGCCAAACTCAAAAGGAAAGGAAAGGAAAAGAAAAGTTACAGTGACCATTCCTGGAAACTTACTCAGAGTCTTTGTTCCATAACCGTCGTCACCTAATCCGGGGATGTCCTGCATGGAAGTCCCCAGAGAGAGCAATGAGAGAGGAAGAACAGCCACGGGAGAGGAAGGAGAAGTCAGTGGAGTTGAAATGGATACTACCATGACAGACCGTGTTGCCTACACAATCTGGATCCCACTGTCTCTTTTTTTTTGAAACAATTTTTACCCCAGACTCCCTGGACTGAGACTTAAGAAAGTTTCTGATTTGTAAAGCAACTTGAAAGGTTTAAGTAGAAGACTGTAAAAACAAACAAACAAACAAAAAACAAAACCAATAAACAAAGACTTGGCAGATACCATTTTTGCTATCAATATTGCCACAAAAATGTCCCATATAAAGGAATGATCTCTTCCAAATTTTGCTACTTAATATCCACCAATACAAGCTCACTGTTGAGCAAGTATTTAGTGTTTATTGAGAGGGAAAGAGTGAGCCAATTTTCCAGTAATTAATCAACGTAATTTGGTCACTCCAGTTAGCTAGCATTCCAAAAATATATGTGAGGCGATGAAATCTGGTATTTCTGCCCAGAAAAGAAATTTGTGTCAAGCCCTGGAGAGTGGCATGAGAGAAAAGGCAAACCAGACCCATTCCTGTTCACAGATAAGTATTGGTTGGCAGCAAAGCCCCAGCTTTGGCAACTCCCTCTCCAGTGTACTCTGCAAAGAGCTCAGTGAAGGGAAGGATCCAGACTGTGGACAAACACTGGTCACAGTAGTAAGACCTGTCCTGCCTGCCTGCTGTGCTTTTCTTTTTCTTTTTTTAAATTTACTTATTTGCCTAGTTGTGTGGTGGAGCCTATATCATGCGTGAAGAAAGTTTTTATTTTTCTCTTGTGTTGCATGTGACATTATCTCCGAGAATCTACTTACGTTCAGGATCACTGGTTTCCTGCTCACTCTGCTCCTTGTTCTTGTAGAATGGGAATTTTCGTGAAAAGATGAAGCTCTTTTTACGCTTGTCATTGAATGACTGTGAAGGAGAAAAGGCATGGGGCAAAAACAGGGGACGTCTAATTGTTGTCACACTCATGCTGACAAAACAACTAGTTTGTAAAAGCAGAGAGCTGTAGTGACGCAAGTGGATTTATGCTACAGAGGTGCCATAGGCTTGTAAAGGCAGGATTCATTTTCAAAGAACATAAATTCCGAACTTTGGAAAAATGGTCTCATAATCAAAAGACTGCTTATAGATAAATGGTGATAGAGGGAAAAAGTCTTAAATTAGAAGACCCAGAGTCTTTGTCTTGGCTCTACATCTTGCTAGTCCATCGCCTCTGACAAGTAACTGAATTTTTCTGAGCCTCAGTGTCTATATCTGCAAAATGAGGATAATGAGAGCAGTTCTTAGGTTGTGAGACTCATGTCAGACAATGTTAACATAAAGTGCTATACAAATGGCATCTTATTAGGTAGAAAAGACGTTTTATTAGACAAACTAGTTTTCTTAGTGATGAGTCATCTTCTAAAATAATTTGAATTTGAGTTACTTCAACTTGGACTTAATTAAAGCTGCTCAGAGAAGTATGTAGATTTAGGGTATATGATAATTATAGTCTCGCAGTATATGAAAATTATAGCATATCATTTTTATTCAAATGACAATTTAGCCTCAAGCTTTCATTTTGTAGAGGGAGCCAGAAGCACAGAGAGATTAAGCCCAAGCACCAAGTAGCACAGAGCTAGTTGGTACCAGCCAGGAAACAGTCAACCTAAACTGTTAAAATTGCTGTTAAAATGGCATTAAGTTGCCTTCACCCAGTAAGGGAGAAATGACAGTCATTCATCTATATTATGATAAGGTTCAAGTACTGTAAGAATGACTGTCTTTAAGGCATAAGCCAATCCATTAGCTAAAATGAGGCCAAATTAAAAATAACACACATATTGAAATTTATTCATTCAAATGAATATCATCAGGTGTTCCTCTAATGACTTCCTAAGAAAACTTAATAATATTTTATGTACATGGTTTGTGGGATTCTTCTTTGACAAATTTATTGCGATCATTTTACAAGCTATAGGCCATACCAGGCTTATTAATTTTATATTCACATTTAATTTAAAGAAGGGTTTCATCAGCTTGATTACCATTCTCATTTGAATCAATCAGTTTTGTGGGTGTTTTACTTGGCTAAAAAAATTAAAATCATTCCTCAAGGAACAAAATTTTCACTACATTGGTTTGAAAATGAATATATGAATAGTATAGAAGAAAATTTGAAAAGGGTTCAATGACAGCTGGTAGGAAAAAGTGTACAGTCAGCAAGGTGACTACTTGGAAGGAAAGAGCAACTGTTTTGTCTCACTGGTGAGACTCCATCATGTATTTGCCTTTACAGATTTAAAATTTGACAAAATTGTATAAATAACTTATTTTCTTTGTGCACTCATGCTCTCCTACCTCGAATATCCACTGTGGTCATCATGTTAATTTAGTTTAGGATGCATTGAAGTACTAAAGTGCTAGTCCTGTCATTAAGTTATTAGGTTTTTAGGTACTAAGAACTTCCACCAAAGTCAGTGGAGCTAAATTTTATGTCACCTGAAGAGGGCTTTTTGAAATCAGGGGACAAATTTTATACTTCACATTCAAGCACTAAAAATACTTTCTCTTGGAAAAAAAGTTCTACTTCAGAACTCATTACTCTGCTGATTATACCTGTGATCAATATAGTTACATCATAATTTATAATTGAGGACTCATGCCAAGTGCCAAAAATGATAATCTTTAAAGGAACATTAATTATTCTTGCATCACTCCAGTTTCATGCCACTTTTACATTTCAAGCATATTTAAATTTCAGTAACTGAAAATAACAGAAAAAAACCATGTGAGAATCAATGGCATGTGATATTGCAAGGTATGTTAGACCTTTATCTTCAACATTATTGATGACTTCATGCAAAAAAATAAGTTTTCATGCATATCCAAAACAATGCCAAGAGGAGGAAAGCCTGGGATGAAAATACACACAGTGGAGAATTTGAAGGCCTTTGGGCCACAAAATGAGGGTGCATGCAAATCACATCACTAAAATTGCTTCAGGGGTCAAATGAAAATGAAAAAGTGTTCTCTGTGATTAATTCGTTTATGTTTCAAAGCAAAGAATGTAATGTGCTAACATTTCCCAAGTATGAAAATGTTGTGTATCATGAGTTATCTGATTGAGACATAATAATACTGAGTATCACACTTTTGAAAGAATAGAAAATACATAATAATACCTCAGACATTAAATTATCTAACAGTCTTATTGGCAAAGGCCATTTCTTATTGGAATTAAAAAGAAGGTAGTAGAATTATTGGTGGTTACATTTCCTTACATTTATAGACACAAAATTAAAACAGTTTTTCATTTCACACAGATTTACAAGTCACACATTTAGAGTCTTAAAACATTTCAACTATAAAAGATTATATGTGGTTTATAATGTTAATACTATTTATTTTCTTTAGACATGTATTTCATTATATAAGCTTTTGCTACTGCAATGTTTTCTTTTTATACAGGAAAGAAAAATCTGTTACATGAGTGCTAGGTGGGAATAATAAATTAGCACTTTGGCTCTTCATAGAACAAATGGTTCTAAAGTAACTGAAGCCTAGTTTATGGCTCTTTTTTTTCTTTGGTGCGTGGGATCAAACTCAGGACCTTGCCCTTGTGAGGCAGGCGAGTTGTCACTGAGCTAAATTCCCAGCCCTCTATGGCTCTATTCTTAATTGCACTTGATCAATGGTATTGTTTCTTTTCCTACATTACAGCGTCTTCAATCCTGATCCATTGCTTTCATGGCAGGAAACTTTGAACAGAGATTTGAAAATACAATCCAATGTAACCTGGGTAAATTGACATATCTAAGAATTTTACCTTGCAATTTTACTTGAGTTATGGAGTTCATATAAATAAATTGATAAAACAGCAACTACCATCTATTGAGCACTTATGTAGCAGGTGTGGTTCTAAAAGCTTTACATGTGTTAATTTGCATGCTAACTTCCCATTATTTCTTTATTTGTCCAGAGTGACACAGGTAGGTAAGCAGTACAGTCAGAAATTGAATTGGCAAATATTCCTGGTTGCAAATATTGCCATTCTTAAGAGCACAGGAAGTTTCTGCAACCCAAACACGCTTCGAGTTCATATTCAAAATTATTAGCATTGGACTTTAAGTGATCTGTCATTCCTTAAGCTTCACTTCTTAGTGATCAGCCATTGGTGCCACTGGATTCAATAATATATCTTTAGGTTATCCTGCTACAGTTTTTTGAATATCCGTTCATGTGTTTGAGGGCTATATCCCATTTTATTTGTTCATATGATAACATAGAGAAAAAAATCAAAAGGATTTTTCCAGGTCATGTAGGGCAATTTAAAGGTGAGTACCCATGACAGGCAAATCTATAATCCCATGAGTATACTAAAAACACTGGGTTGTATACTTCAAGTTGTCAATTACACCTATGTGAATTATATTTCAATAAGATCATAGGATCCCCACACCAACCCCATACTATGGGATTAAACAATTATAGCAATTTTTAAATTTTATTTGAGGTAAACATTTTTTATCTTTCATTGTACTGTGTGTTCTCCAATCTTTGGAATCAATCAGCTGTACACTGCTTTTGTTTATCTACTTGGTCTTGTCTCAGTTAAGTGAATACCTTTCATGTTGTGACAGACATTAGAACATCCATATCAGAAGTCAGCATCTTATCACTGTCACTCAGAAATTGCCAGGTTGTTAGGTCCAATGGCATGAAATCACCTAGCCTGACCAGAGAGGTAATGTATTGGTGATCTGGCTTAATCTAAAACATATGCCTCATGAAGAAAGAAAGCAAAACCAAAAACACAAATCACTTCTTATCCTGCTCAGATTTCATGTTCTGAAAGACGCACGAGTAAATCTTGACATATTTTTATCATTCTATTCCAGGACACTTTCAAATTAGGGACATGTTAGAGTTTTTCTAATCTTCCTATGCTAATTTCTCAAGTTTCAAGTGTTTCATCGTTCTAAAATGTCACTTTTATGAGAAGAATGTTCTCTGGGTGGAGTTTCAATTTAAAATATATCGAACTCAGATTTACATTTTCTGTGGTCTCTTTAGTTTTTGTAAGTGCTTCTTTCCTCTTAATTGTATTCTTCTGGGAAAGTTGTCACTATACATTTGGCCATTTTGTCTTCATATACACAAAAATAATTTCAAAACGAGATGTTAAAGAACAAGTAATGAGACAAAGGGAGATTATGAGTTAGCATACACACACACATTTCCCCAGAAATGTGTCTATATGAACAATGTGTTTATAACGTCCAAATGAAAAACTGCTAGATTCATAATTAATAGATCAAGGCATCAAGTATTGGTAACTGTAAACATCCAAGGGAGGAAGGGAGGAAGACAGGGAGGGAGGCAGGGGAGAGAGGCAGAGAGGGGGAGAGAATAATCTTTTACAAACTAGCCTTGCCAGCCTCTATTATTCCCCAAACAAAATTCCTTCAAAGGAACCTGGACCTAATCAAATCTCTAGATCCAATTATCAGTTTACAGATATGAAGAAGTCACAGAAACGTGGAAAATTACATTATAAGGATATAACCAGCAAAATCTGAACCATGAGAAAATCTGAAAGAAAATGACCTGGTTTCTTCAATATAAGAATTGCCACCAGACAACACAAGTGAAGGGCAAATGTATATACCAGAGGGGACTTAAGTTAGATCAACCAATTATAAAGTGTACTTTTCATTTGGATCCTGTTGAAAGCAACAAAATGTAAAACATAGACCCTCCGAAAGCATTTATGGGACATATGAACCAATTTGAGCCCTAAAAAGACTGGATATTTATTTTGTAACTGATAATTTTTATGTGTGATAATAGCATTGCCATGCTATAGTAAAATATTTATACCTGAAATGATTTGATACAGTAAGTTGCATTAAAATAATGTGGACTCT